CATTATGAGCTGACCCGTCTTCTTCTTAGAGCTCTTTCAATAGCAATTGCCTGGACATTAGGTAAATTCTGCACAGAGCCTCTCGACCGCGTGTGCCTGACATTGATCACTGATCTCTTCTCCATCTCACTGGCAAGTTCTTGAGCACCTTTCAATTTCATTGGTTTATGGTCCAGCTCTGGTTCAGGTGCGAACCCATCAAATAGGGATTGAGTATCAGTGTCATCCAGCTGGATGGCACCATCCCCAGGCACAGCATAGTCAGGACTTTCCCCAGAGTTGGAAGGGGCGCTCTCTGCTACAACTGTCTCTTATACACATCTAGATGTGTATAAGAGACGACACTACTGTCAAGTGTCAATATCACAATCAAAATTATTTCACAATCAGAAATATGTTATAATATCACAATCAAAAATATTATTCACAAATAACCATCGATTTCAATGCAAAACTGGTCCCATCTTCACTACTGTGGCTTTGTTTACATATGGCTAGTGGTGACGTCACACACAAGAACACGTGGTAGCTACATCAACTGTGACAAAAAAATGCAATATTTTGCTGTACCACAAACAAATAAATGTAAATAATTAGTAATGGAAAATATGTTGCTGGAACACTTTAAGAGACCGGACCCCATGGTCAGGAAGATGTGCCAGGTGCGCGGGAATTTATTTTGTCATTTTAATGACCTGCACGGTGCGCCGTACTATGCTGGTAAAAAAATGCACCGTGCGCCGTACTTTAGAAAGCTAAAATAGTTCTACTATTTTAGTCGAGAATATATGCGAGTATATTGACTACGCGAGTCGAACTGACAATAATAAAATGTAAGACATGTCCGGGTTACTTCTGACTCTTCCGCTTGTCTGCCTTGTCGGATACGGAACGTACGGTAATCGTAAACTGCGGCTATTATACATACGAAATGTAAACAGACGGCAGTGTTCAGTGTTGCCATATGACTTTGGAGAAAATTTCTTTTACAATAAAGTTCTTGATTTCTCATTCACCAAATTTCCGTATCAAGAAAAATCATATATTATTGAAAGATAATTAAAGGCATACTGTACTGAGTAATGTGAGTATTAAGTCTGTTCCTCCACAAACTGCTCATGCGCGGCAGCGCAACGTAGAATTGATGGCCGGGATTGCGCGAACACGTGTGCAAAGAGAATCAATTTTCATTACATTGCGCCAACTGTGCACAGCAATAGCTTAAAAAAAGTGAAAATGCGCAGTAAAATTCACCGAAAACATACATCATCCTGAGTGTGGACTGGACCTAAATAGAATACGATATTATTATATTTTTAGTCAAGACACTAAACAATAAAGTAGTTCATTTGATTGCCGCTGCTAGTGCTGGCATCTGTATCACTGTAGCCTGTATGTGAACCTTCTATGAGTAATATTAATTCAACATGGAATTATGGAGATACAACTTCTATGATTAATTTGAATCATAAAAATTAACCTAATGCTAGAAATTAGCAATCAATAATTCAACGTTGTTTTGTAAGTTTTGTACCAACGGAACTACGGAAAACTACATTAAATACGTATTGGCAACTTAAGCTAAAAAAATGCACTGCAACTGCAATCAGCTATGAGAGAAGGTGCCAGAAAGCGCGATGGATTCAATTTAGTCATTTTTTATTTGAAATCGGTCTCAGTTCTTTGGACTAGGAGCGTAAATTTCAGTGTAAAATCTATTAAAAGTTTATGTTTCTGCGTGGATTTTGATGCTGTTAGCATTGAAATACTTGAAAGTATCTCTGATGCAAGAAATTCTGGCTAAATACATTTTAATTTAGAAATTAACATCAATCGAAATTACTGTTGTTCAGGGCTATGTTGGTTCTTGCGATCATGCATTCAAATTCAAATAAGGATCACCCATGGCCAGTGTAGCTGTCAGCTCACCTCTCTTCAGAAGTGTGAAAGCTTTTGCCGGTGAAGGTGTGTTTTACGATCGGTCCGTAAAGAAGCGTTGATCGGTTCAAAATGACATAAGACCAGGTTCTTTTGAATAACCTATAGAATTGCACCATGCTTTGAGCTGTGATTCCATTTCACTGAGCCATGAATTCCATATCTTGGCCATGAAAAGCCATTTACAAGGTGCGAATTTATTTACAAAGTCCATGCACGTGTTACCCCAAATCTCTAATTTTACCCTAAAACAGTCAAATGGCAACAATAAAATTTGTCTTTACTGCAAGTTGAGCCCGTGTTAATGCAGTCTGACCGCTTTGACATGACCGCAACTATGTGCGATCTTCAACAAAACGTTAAGTTGATTTGTTTACATAACGATGTTTATATTTTTTCTGCAGGATATTTTGGCTGGAATTGTAAAGCAATGTGGATTGTGGAAGGTGAAAATTTATGAAGTGACATGTTTGCAAAGTGCAAACTGCGATTTTCCAATCAAACAAAAATTTGACATTTGAGCTGTGAGATTTCATACCTACTGAAATTATATGATATTAGAGCCACGATATTTCAGACAAAAATAGGACTTTTACTTTTCCAGCCCTGTGCCCAGCCCACACTCAGGAAGATGTATATAAATGGGGAAATTTCCCGCGCATTTTTAGTTTTTTATATTTTCTTCGCGCACGCGTTCACGCAAATCACGGTCATCGATTCCACGGCATGGGCCGGGGAGCCGTCCGACACAGTTTGATTTAGACACCGTTTTCATCTGAATGGAATGGCAACATCGTCTGTAGATTT